CCACAATAATTTGATCCAGTCAATAAAACCCCCCCTAGCCAGCCACATTGTGACTGTATTTGTTGAATCATATGTTCTAATTTTTCCTAGCCAGATTATAGTACACTAGGTTATACTCTTGGCAAAATTAGAAATTTAGGTATGTCATAAACACACACGTATCTTAAAAATGTAAAATATTTGTTACTGTTGGAAAATAATGGTGGTGTATGTTTTTTCTTAATTATTGAACTGATGTGGAGCAGGAGAGGTGCAGAGTGCATACACAGGAAACAGGAAAGCTAAGTAAATCCCAGTAAAAGCATTACAATGTATGTTAACCTTAACTGTTTTACACAAGTGACTCAATAAATAAATAAATAAATAAATAAATAAATAGGGCAGAGAGTATAACCCCCCACCTCCACCCCCAATGGTGGGCCTAAAGTTACGCCCTTGGTCACCATCAACAAAATAAACTTGCAGATCATTTCTAATCTTTGTGTTCATTCTTTATTTTATTTTAATAGGCTGCAGGTGAAAAGGCTTTGTCAAGCTGCATGCTGTCGAGACGCAGCTTCACTCCAGTCCAGCCCCCCGCGGTCATACCTAACAGTAAGTTTGGTTAATTATTACGCAAACGCAAAAGGGCAGTCATGTATTTGCTCATGTCTGTCTCTGTATTGTCAGCTAAATATCTCACGAACCACTGAGAGTTTAATGAAACTCAGAAAGTAAGCACCGATTAACTTCTGGAGCGAATCCAAGTCAAGATGGCCGTCACAGCCAGCAYGATGCCCTTTAATGTCTAATCTGTTAATGAAATATTCGGAAAATATAATTTGATCCTAAACAATGTTTTTTAGCAAACAACTAAAAAGTGGAAACAGAATAGTAAACGGGACCTGTTATGCAAAATTCACTTTTTAAAGTTTTTTTTTTTACTCAACTTTGGGCATGTACTTCTTAAAAAAAGTCCTTGGACCAAAAAAATGCACCCAGGGGCATTTTACTGTAAGTAAATGTATTTTTAATGTATATTAACGACCAGTTTTATACTTCGTTATTTTGTGATGTCACAAGCCGTACGACAACCCACCAGAACCTGCGTTCAGCCGCTTACCTAGCAAGCCCCGGATGAGACTCCACCTCCTCAATATAAAAAGCCGTCACAGTGTTGTTGTGCCATGTGCAGCTCATTTCACAACAAGCCTCCAATAGGGCAATGGGTAGAGTGTTGGACCAGAGAGTGGGAGACCAGGGTTTGTGACCAGCATGGTCACTATTTAATTATTTATTTTTTTCATTCATTATGAACACGTTTTCTCATGTASCTCTATTGTTTAGCTTATTAAAGCCTTGTGAAAGCCTATTTGTTCGAGTTTCTGAGGTATTTTGACCGCTGCTGCTCCCTGCTCTGGTAACAGCATGCAGAGTNCATTTGTTGTGGATTCAAACCAAACCAGCAGCTAAAATAAGACTTTTCATAGTTTTATATAAAAAAAAAAACCTGCTGTCCTGTGTTTTTTTCCAAAGAAATGAGTGGAAAGTTTGTGAGTGCTCTGCAGCTGGAGGCTGAGGTCAGTCAGGAAGCAGAGGGGAGGGTAGGGGAGGGCCAGGACAGGCTGGAAGTCTGCCTCCAGCACCTTTTATAAACATTCACACACCTACAGCTCAGCGTTCACACACGTCCACGCATCCCGCCTGTTTCTGCATCCTCGCACCGACGCCTGCCACTTCATCCTGACGGTCGTCTCAGAGGGAGAAGCCTCGTGGATTTAAGTTTTTTGCTGTCACGTTATTTCTGATTAAGTCATTAAAAAAAAAAAACAACAACAGCTGCAACCATTTCACCTCCACCCRTCATGTACAGCTCCAGCTACTCCCGGGCCAAGCTGGGCCTGGAGGCGAGGGACAAGCTGCACAAACCGAAGGGCAAGAGCTGCAGCTACTACATGAAGATCTTTTTATTCTTTTCATCCCTCATCCAGTCGCTCATCATCGTCAGCCTGGTGCTCTTCCTCATCTACGGACAGCCCGAGAAAACCGCGGAGGAGCAAAGGGTCAAGGTCAGAGAATGAACAAATCTAGGGTTTTACTAAAAAGGATGTAGCTCACCTCTACCTCTGCCTGTTAACAGGACGGATATACTGCACTTATATTTGTGTTGATGTTCGCTTCACGTGTTGTGCAGGAGCTGGAGCTCAGCTTCCAGAAGGTGAGCGACCACAACGTGGGGCTGAGGAAGAATACAAGCGACCTGAGAGCCCAGCTGGCAGCTCGGACCGCAGAAAAAGCATCTCTGGAACGAGTTGTACTGAAGCTGAAAAGTGATGCCAACAACACAGAACAGGAGCTGAAGAAAAAAATAGTAAGTGTGGATGATTTAAAAAAAGTGAAAAATAAAATGTCTGTTTTTGCCAAGTTGTTGTAGGAATCATAAGATAAGATTAACTTTWTYATGTCATTTTGTCCCCTAAATCTACATTTTAAAGTTAAGCAAGGCTTTAAACTAATCATTTTATCAGATAATCTGAAGTMGTTTTAGATTATTTTTTAACTCACTTATTGGTCACCATCATGGGTGTAATTTTCAGGGGGGCATGGGGGGTTATGACCCCCACAATAATTTGATCCAGTCAATAAAACCCCCCCTAGCCAGCCACATTGTGACTGTATTTGTTG